GTGAAGCAGTTCAAAACTCTCAATTTCAAATCAGTCTGTGCAATGAAGTTTCTAAGAAATACATTTAACCATGACGAGCCTGCACAGTTTAATAGCCCAAAGTGGAGGGAATTCAGGGTGACAAAATGTGGACAAATGCGCACTAGATCGGAGAATCCATTTCTCGACCGAGGCTCACGGGAACAGCAGCGGCTTCGCGCACGCGCAATTCATTTTCAGTCTGGACGCGGAGTGGTGCGGATCTCCTCTCTGCTCTGACTGCAGCTACGACTGCTGCGCGACGCTACTGTGTGACTGACTGACGCCTGTGAGCGCTTTAGACGGTGAAGGGGCTCACGGCAGCACCGCTGTTCGTTGAGGACAGTAACTTCAGAGCGATTCGTGCTTTCACGTCAAAGTCTCCAATAACACATGAAAAAGGCGCTGGATTTGTCGCTGGAGGCTTTTGACAAAAAAAAAGTCGCCAAGAGGATTTGAAAAGTCTGTGTTGCAATTTTTTTTGTTGAGCTTTTTTCTCCTCTTTGGAGCTGTGCTTGTTTTCTCGGCTCTGCTCAATTTCATGTTGAGGAAATAAAGCTGTCACGCACATATAGCTGTTTGTCTCTGTGACCACACTCTGTCCTGCATATGTTCGATTTTATTGAATAGCCTGTCACCATAAGCAGTGCAGTGATGACTTTATGTGTATCACAGTGGGTTGCACGGAGCACCGAAGGCTCAGTTAGGAACAATATAAAGACTGCTCTCTCTATCTCTCTCTCTCTCTCCCCCCCTCTCTTCTCACAAACCATTTCACAGGACATGTCGATGTGATCACATCCTTGTACGCTGCTGTTCAGAGGACTCTGCTGCCTCTGTCTGGATCGACAAGTTTTGCTGAGACGGAGAGAGACTCGCTGTAATCTGCGGAGGCATTTCCTAATCTAATCAGTGAAAAATTCTAAAATGAACAGTCTGTGTGTAATAAAGTGTCTAAGAAATAGCTAATCATGAGTAGCTGTTTTTTTTTCATTTGATATTGACATATTTCTGGATTCAGCTGCAACGGGACAAACATTCACAAGACAACATTCTGGCTTTAAAAATTCGGCAACGTGAAATCTCGCTCAATGATCACATCAGCGTGGTCTGTGTATTTTGTTGTTGGTCTGTTTTCTTCACCTCTCCAGAGCTGTGTTTAATCATCTCCGCTGAGTTTCATGTTAGTAGTTTGACTTGTAGAAAAGGCCCAGATTTATTTATGACTTCAGGAGCAATGAAACACAATTTTAAGGCACATTCTGAAAAATCTGATCTAGGAACTGGTCAGCAGTGGAATGGGCAGTCACGGCTTCAGCACAACTCAGGCAAGTCAAGTACAGAATGTCATGTAAGGTGGATTTGTTGCTTCTTTGATACCTTAGCCAGACCTCGAAATGTCAACACAGCTCAATCATCCAACCAACGTTAAGTCTATGGGAGCTCAAGGTGTAAAAACAGCTGAATTCTCCAACAAATGTTAAGTCTATTGGAGATCAAAACCCAAAAACCACAGCTGAATTCTCAAACCAATGCGAAGCTATGGTAGCCCAAAGATGCAATAACAGCTGAAGGCTCCAACCAATATTAGTCTATGGGAGCTCAAACATCGAAAATCACATCTGAATCATCCAACCAATTTAGTCTATAAGAGATCAAAGTTGCAACAACAAAATAAATGGGTATTTAATCATGAGTAAACGACACAGTTTTTATTATTTTATTTGATATTGTGCCCAAGGTGGAGGAAATAAAGAGCGACAACAAGACATTAACGTTTTAATTTGTATTTAGGCTGTGAACAGAGTGACGAATACATCGATTGATTTGTCCTTTTCCCTCGTTGTCTGATGGTCTCTCTCAATGTGCACTGCTGCACAGTGTAGGCTTTTTTTTTTAGGCTGACTTTCATGTCGAGGATTTCTTGACACCGTCCTCACACAGCACCTCGGTGCATATGTCGTTGAGATTAAACTCTGCTGCGGTGCTGTTGTTTTTCTTGAATATCACCATCAGCAGTGCATTGATGCAGCTCATGATGGGTATCACAGCGAGCCTCTGCCCGTGAAAGTGAACAATCACAGGCATCCCGTGTGGCTCCTCATGAACGAGCTGTACATACTGGGTCATAAAATTCACGAGAGACATGGTCGTCTGCCACAGTGACTCCATGATTCTGTCGACCGTTTCGACAAACATTTTGTCTCGGCTTCATGAAATCTCGGAACACCTCTCCTCTCCGGAATTGTTTTTCGTTTTTTGATAGGCTGATCACTGATTCGCGGACTCCTCCAGCACAAGGGCGGGTTGCACGGAGCACCGAAGGCTCAGTTAAGAACAATATAAAGACTGCTCTCTCTCTCTCTCTCTCTCTCTCTCTCTCTCTCTCTCTCTCTCTCTCTCTCACCATTTCACAGGACATGTCAATGTGATCACATCCTTTTACGCTGCTGTTCAGAGGACTCTGCTGCCTCTCGACAAGCTTTGCTGAGACGGAGAGATGTTCGCTGTTATCTGCAGAGGACTTTACTCCTCCTCGATGAAACTGTTCAAACTCGCAACTTTACAACAGAGTCTGCGTGCAATAAAGTGTCTCAGAAAAATCATGAGCATACGCAGTTTTTTTATTTTCACAACGTGGATGAAATTGCGAGTGAGAACAAGGTATTATAATTGTATTTATTAACAGTGAAGAATAAGAAATTGATTTGTCCTTTTCCCTCGATGTTTGATGCTCTCGCGATGTGCATTTCAAATTTAATTTCAAAGCAGTCTGTGTGCACTGAAGTTTCTAAGAAATAGCTTTTTTAATCATGATAAGCCTGCACAGTTTTAATAGCCCAAAGTGGAGGGAATTCAGGGTGACAACAAAGCATCAAAACTTTATGAATTAACAGTGTCAGTATCAACTATCTAATAATATATCACATTCAACATTAATTACATTCATTTAGAAATAGCCTATGTAATCATGAGAAGCTGTGGGTGAAAAAGTATTGGTAGTATTTTTCTATCAGTAGCCTACACAGTTTTTTTTATTTCGATATGATATTGTGACCAAAGCGGAAGAAATTAACCCTTCTATTGTCTTTGGGGTCAATTTGACCCCATTCAGCATTTAACAACTCTAAATAAACAACTGAAATCATTTTCATTTTTTTGCTTCATATTTAATGACCATGGGGTAAACATAACATTTAAATTGACATGTTGATTTGTGTTCAATGTCCTGTACACATGTACGCATCGGTGTTCTTTGGGGTCAATTTTACCCCAGACTGTTTTAGCTGTATAAGAGTGACAACAAGGCATTAAACATTTCTATTTTATTTATTAACAGTGAAGAATTACAAGTTGATTGTCCTTCTGTAATAACGTGTTTGTGCTGATTCATAGGTTCTGTGAATGTCATGATTGTGTGTGTGTTTTTAGGTGAGAGTAGCCCAACTAAAGTTTTAGTCAAGGGCCAGAATTTGTAAAGAAATGGCCCATTTAATAGTAGTCTACACAGTTTTTATTATTTTATTTGGTATTGTACCCAAGGTAGAGGAAATAAAGAGTGACAACAAGACATTCAAAATAATCTTTTTATTTAGGTCATGAACAGAGTGAACAATACAGCATTTGGTTTGTCCTTTTCCCTGAATGTCTGATGGTCTCTCTCGATGTGCAGTGCTGCACAGTGTAGGCTCCACTTTCTGCGGAGGGTTTTAGGCTATACACTTGCATCACCCGATGAGCTTCTCTTCCCATTCGTCCATACGAGCAGAGATTTTTTAACTCCTCTGCTGACTGAATATCACCATCAGCAGTGCATTGATCCAGCTCATGATGGGTATCATAGCGAGCCTCTGCCCGTGGAAGTGAACAATCACAGTCATCCCGTGTGGCTCCTCATGAACGAGCTGGACATACCGGGTCATAAAATTCATTAGAGACATGGTCATCTGCTGCAGTGAGTCCATGATTCTGTCGAGGGCAAATTTTTTGTAGTTTGAAGAGTGAGTTCTGGTAGAGCAGGACCAGACTGAATTCAGCAGGAACGGGACACACATTTATGAGACACATTTTCGGCTTCTTGAAAATCTCGCAAAACCTCTCCTCTCCGGAGTTGTTTTTCGGCTCCGCTGAGTTTCATGTTGAGGAAATAAAGCTGTCACCGCCTCCACACAGCACCATGAAGCTGTTTGTCTCTGTGACCACACTCTGTCCTGCATATGTTCGATTTTATTGAATATCACCATCAGTATGAATTTGGTATCTGTGTGTCACACAGAGCCTGGCAGTTGAAGCGAACTCTCACAACCCTCCAGTGGAGCTCCTCACTATCGACTTCACCGGTTGCAGAGTGTCGAGAATCACTTCGCGGACTCCTCCCAGCACCCAAAGGCGAGTGTAGGCTAGTGAGCCAATAGGCTGTATCTCATCTGATCCTACTACTGACGATAGACTGTTTGCTCGAGGAAAACTTGGTCGACACGGAGGAGGCTGTGAGGACTCTTCTTTTGCTCGGCGTTTTGTTGCCAGCCACGCTGTTTTTTTTATTGAGTTGGAAGTTATCTGCCTTCACAAAGCATTTCACAGGACATGTCGATGTGATCACAACCTTTTACGCTGCTGTTCAGAGGACTCTGCTGCCTCTGTCTGGATCGACAGGCTTTGCTGGGACGGAGAGAGACTCGCTGTAATCTGCGGAGGATTTTAGGCTATACACTTCCTCGGTGAAGCAGTTCAAAACTCTCAATTTCAAATCAGTCTGTGTGCAATGAAGTTTCTAAGAAATACCATTTTAACCATGACGAGCCTGCACAGTTTAATAGCCCAAAGTGGAGGGAATTCAGGGTGACAACAAATGTCGGACAAATGCGCAGCCTAGATCGGAGAATCCATTTCTCCGACCGAGGCTCACGGGAACAGCAGCGGCTTCGCGCACGCGCAATTCATTTTCAGTCTGGACGCGGAGTGGTGCGGATCTCCTCTCTGCTCTGACTGCAGCTACGACTGCTGCGCGACGCTACTGTGAGACTGACCGCCTGTGAGCGCTTTAGGACGGTGAAGGGGCTCACGGCAGCACCCGCTGTTCGTTGAGGACAGTAACTTCAGAGCGATTCGTGCTTTCACGTCAAAGTCTCCAATAACACATGAAAAAGGCGCTGGATTTGTCGCTGGAGGCTTTTGACAAAAAAAAAAGTCGCCAAGAGGATTTGAAAAGTCTGTGTTGCAATTTTTTTTGTTGAGCTTTTTTCTCCTCTTTGGAGCTGTGCTTGTTTTCTCGGCTCTGCTCAATTTCATGTTGAGGAAATAAAGCTGTCACCGCACCATATAGCTGTTTGTCTCTGTGACCACACTCTGTCCTGCATATGTTCGATTTTATTGAATAGCCTGTCACCATAAGCAGTGCAGTGATGACTTTATGTGTATCACAGTGGGTTGCACGGAGCACCGAAGGCTCAGTTAGGAACAATATAAAGACTGCTCTCTCTATCTCTCTCTCTCTCTCTCCCCCCCCCTCTCTCTCTCACAAACCATTTCACAGGACATGTCGATGTGATCACATCCTTGTACGCTGCTGTTCAGAGGACTCTGCTGCCTCTGTCTGGATCGACAAGTTTTGCTGAGACGGAGAGAGACTCGCTGTAATCTGCGGAGGCATTTCCTAATCTAATCAGTGAAAAATTCTAAAATGAACAGTCTGTGTGTAATAAAGTGTCTAAGAAATAGCCTAATCATGAGTAGCTGTTTTTTTTTCATTTGATATTGACATATTTCTGGATTCAGCTGCAACGGGACAAACATTCACAAGACAACATTCTGGCTTTAAAAATTCGGCAACGTGAAATCTCGCTCAATGATCACATCAGCGTGGTCTGTGTATTTTGTTGTTGGTCTGTTTTCTTCACCTCTCCAGAGCTGTGTTTAATCATCTCCGCTGAGTTTCATGTTAGTAGTTTGACTTGTAGAAAAGGCCCAGATTTATTTATGACTTCAGGAGCAATGAAACACAATTTTAAGGCACATTCTGAAAAAATCTGATCTAGGAACTGGTCAGCAGTGGAATGGGCAGTCACGGCTTCAGCACAACTCAGGCAAGTCAAGTACAGAATGTCATGTAAGGTGGATTTGTTGCTTCTTTGATACCCTTAGCCAGACCTCGAAATGTCCAACCACAGCTCAATCATCCAACCAACGTTAAGTCTATGGGAGCTCAAGGTGTAAAAACAGCTGAATTCTCCAACAAATGTTAAGTCTATTGGAGATCAAAACCCAAAAACCACAGCTGAATTCTCAAACCAATGCGAAGCTATGGTAGCCCAAAGATGCAATAACAGCTGAAGGCTCCAACCAATATTAGTCTATGGGAGCTCAAACATCGAAAATCACATCTGAATCATCCAACCAATTTAGTCTATAAGAGATCAAAGTTGCAACAACAAAATAAATGGGTATTTAATCATGAGTAAACGACACAGTTTTTATTATTTTATTTGATATTGTGCCCAAGGTGGAGGAAATAAAGAGCGACAACAAGACATTAACGTTTTAATTTGTATTTAGGCTGTGAACAGAGTGACGAATACATCGATTGATTTGTCCTTTTCCCTCGTTGTCTGATGGTCTCTCTCAATGTGCACTGCTGCACAGTGTAGGCTTTTTTTTTTTAGGCTGACTTTCATGTCGAGGATTTCTTGACACCGTCCTCACACAGCACCTCGGTGCATATGTCGTTGAGATTAAACTCTGCTGCGGTGCTGTTGTTTTTCTTGAATATCACCATCAGCAGTGCATTGATGCAGCTCATGATGGGTATCACAGCGAGCCTCTGCCCGTGAAAGTGAACAATCACAGGCATCCCGTGTGGCTCCTCATGAACGAGCTGTACATACTGGGTCATAAAATTCACGAGAGACATGGTCGTCTGCCACAGTGACTCCATGATTCTGTCGACCGTTTCGACAAACATTTTGTCTCGGCTTCATGAAATCTCGGAACACCTCCCTCTCCGGAATTGTTTTTCGTTTTTTGATAGGCTGATCACTGATTCGCGGACTCCTCCCAGCACCAAGGGGCGGGTTGCACGGAGCACCGAAGGCTCAGTTAAGAACAATATAAAGACTGCTCTCTCTCTCTCTCTCTCTCTCTCTCTCTCTCTCTCTCTCTCTCTCTCTCTCTCTCTCTCACCATTTCACAGGACATGTCAATGTGATCACATCCTTTTACGCTGCTGTTCAGAGGACTCTGCTGCCTCTCGACAAGCTTTGCTGAGACGGAGAGATGTTCGCTGTTATCTGCAGAGGACTTTACTCCTCCTCGATGAAACTGTTCAAAACTCGCAACTTTACAACAGAGTCTGCGTGCAATAAAGTGTCTCAGAAAAATCATGAGCATACGCAGTTTTTTTTATTTTCACAACGTGGATGAAATTGCGAGTGAGAACAAGGTATTATAATTGTATTTATTAACAGTGAAGAATAAGAAATTGATTTGTCCTTTTCCCTCGATGTTTGATGCTCTCGCGATGTGCATTTCAAATTTAATTTTCAAAGCAGTCTGTGTGCACTGAAGTTTCTAAGAAATAGCTTTTTTAATCATGATAAGCCTGCACAGTTTTAATAGCCCAAAGTGGAGGGAATTCAGGGTGACAACAAAGCATCAAAACTTTATGAATTAACAGTGTCAGTATCAACTATCTAATAATATATCACATTCAACATTAATTACATTCATTTAGAAATAGCCTATGTAATCATGAGAAGCTGTGGGTGAAAAAGTATTGGTAGTATTTTTCTATCAGTAGCCTACACAGTTTTTTTTATTTCGATATGATATTGTGACCAAAGCGGAAGAAATTAACCCTTCTATTGTCTTTGGGGTCAATTTGACCCCATTCAGCATTTAACAACTCTAAATAAACAACTGAAATCATTTTCATTTTTTTGCTTCATATTTAATGACCATGGGGTAAACATAACATTTAAATTGACATGTTGATTTGTGTTCAATGTCCTGTACACATGTACGCATCGGTGTTCTTTGGGGTCAATTTTACCCCAGACTGTTTTAGCTGTATAAGAGTGACAACAAGGCATTAAACATTTCTATTTTATTTATTAACAGTGAAGAATTACAAGTTGATTGTCCTTCTGTAATAACGTGTTTGTGCTGATTCATAGGTTCTGTGAATGTCATGATTGTGTGTGTGTTTTTAGGTGAGAGTAGCCCAACTAAAGTTTTAGTCAAGGGCCAGAATTTGTAAAGAAATGGCCCATTTAATAGTAGTCTACACAGTTTTTATTATTTTATTTGGTATTGTACCCAAGGTAGAGGAAATAAAGAGTGACAACAAGACATTCAAATATACTTTTTTATTTAGGTCATGAACAGAGTGAAGAATACAGCATTTGGTTTGTCCTTTGCCCTCGTTGTCTGATGGTCTCTCGCGATGTGCAGTGCTGCACAGTGTAGGCTACACTTTCTTCTTGTTGTTGAGCCACCTGCATCAGCTGATGAGTTTCTTTTCCCCCTCGTCCTCCGTGCTTAGATTTTACATCCGCTTTGCTGACTTTCATGTCGAGGATTTCTTGACACCGTCCTCACACAGCACCTCGGTGCATATGTCGTTGAGATCACCCTCTGCTGCGCTGCTGTTGTTTTTCTTGAATATCACCATCAGCAGTGAATTGATGCAGCTCATGATGGGTATCACAGCGAGCCTCTGCCCGTGAAAGTGAACAATCACAGACATCCCGTGTGGCTCCTCATGAACGAGCTGTACATACCGGGTCATAAAATTCACGAGAGACATGATCATCTGCTGCAGTGACTCCATGATTCTTTCTTGTTTTTGAGCGGTTTCCTTCTCCTCTCCAGAGCTGTGTCTCTTCTTATTCATCTCCACTGAGCTTCACATTAGTAGTTGGAAGTTGTAACTCAGGACCGAACTTACGTCTAGATTCAGGAGAAACATGGCTTGTATATCGTGGCTGAATTGTCCCACTGAGGACGCTGGATTGACCAACTATGGTTAGAATATTCACCATGCAGTTGTATGTCGCGATGTGATCACACTCTGATGTCCTGCATGTGTTTGGTTTCGTTGAATATCACTATCAGCAGTGTAGAGAAGAAGTTGGTGGGCTAGTGTGTGTCACAGCTGGCCTGCTGCAGTTAGAGCGAACTCTCACAACCATGCTGAATTCAGCAGGAACGGGACAGACATTTATAAGACAAATTTTCGGCTTCTTGAAAATCTCCCAAAACCTCTCCTCTCCGGAGTTGTTTTCGGCTCGCTGGTTTCATCTTGAGGAATAAAGCTGTCACCGCCCGCACAGCAACATGAAGCTGTTTGTCTCTGTGACCACACTCTGTCCTGCATATGTTCGATTTTATTGAATATCATCATCAGTATGAATTTGGTATCTGTGTGCATCACAGAGAGCCTGGCAGTTGAAGCGAACTCTCACAACCCTCCAGTGGAGCTCCTCACCATCGACTTCACTGGTTGCAGAGTGTCGAGAATCACTTCGCGGACTCCTCCCAGCACCCAAAGGCGAGTGTAGGCTAGTGAGCCAATAGGCTGTATCTCATCTGATCCTACTACTGACGATAGACTGTTTGCTCGAGGAAAACTTGGTCGACACGGAGGAGGCTGTGAGGACTCTTCTTTTGCTCGGCGTTTTGTTGCCAGCCACGCTGTTTTTTTATTGAGTTGGAAGTTGTCTGCCTTCACAAAGCATTTCACAGGACATGTCGATGTGATCACAACCTTTTACGCTGCTGTTCAGAGGACTCTGCTGCCTCTGTCTGGATCGACAGGCTTTGCTGGGACGGAGAGAGACTCGCTGTAATCTGCGGAGGATTTTAGGCTGTACACTTCCTCGGTGAAGCAGTTCAAAACTCTCAATTTCAAATCAGTCTGTGTGCAATGAAGTTTAAGAAATACCATTTTAATCATGACGAGCCTGCACAGTTTTAATAGCCCAAAGTGGAGGGAATTCAGGTGACAACAAATGTCGGACAAATGCGCAGCCTAGATCGGAGAATCCATTTCTCCGACCGAGGCTCACGGGAACAGCAGCGGCTTCGCGCACGCGCAATTCATTTTCAGTCTGGACGCGGAGTGGTGCGGATCTCCTCTCTGCTCTGACTGCAGCTACGACTGCTGCGCGACGCTACTGTGAGACTGACCGCCTGTGAGCGCTTTAGGACGGTGAAAGGGCTCACGGCAGCACCCGTGTTCGTTGAGACAGTAACTTCAGAGCGATTCGTGCTTTCACGTCAAAGTCTCCAATAACACATGAAAAAGGCGCTGGATTTGTCGCTGGAGGCTTTTGACAAAAAAAAAAAAAGTCGCCAAGAGGATTTGAAAAGTCTGTGTTGCAATTTTTTTTGTTGAGCTTTTTTTCTCCTCTTTGGAGCTGTGCTTGTTTTCTCGGCTCTGCTCAATTTCATGTTGAGGAAATAAAGCTGTCACCGCACCATATAGCTGTTTGTCTCTGTGACCACACTCTGTCCTGCATATGTTCGATTTTATTGAATAGCCTGTCACCATAAGCAGTGCAGTGATGACTTTATGTGTATCACAGTGGGTTGCACGGAGCACCGAAGGCTCAGTTAGGAACAATATAAAGACTGCTCTCTCTCTCTCTCTCTCTCTCTCTCTCTCTCACAAACCATTTCACAGGACATGTCGATGTGATCACATCCTTGTACGCTGCTGTTCAGAGGA